GAGTAACAACTGTGCTCACCATGACAACTTTGAGCATCAGTGCCAGGAATTCACTCCCTAAGGTGGCTTATGCAACTGCTATGGATTGGTTTATCGCAGTGTGCTATGCCTTTGTGTTCTCCGCTCTGATTGAGTTCGCCACCGTAAACTATTTCACCAAGAGAGGTTATGCCTGGGATGGCAAAAGCGTGGTTCCAGAAAAGGTAAATGCATTAATAGCCCCTGTGGTATAGCACTAATATGTCCTTTTAAACATGTTAGATGGCATGTTTGGACTTGGGGAAATGGATGAAGAATGCAGAGAGTGGTTAATGAGGATTGCAATTCTTATGTCATCAATGATTAAGTGCTATGATAATTTCATTCTTGTTAAAGAAAGTTGAGTGGACAGATGTGCAGAGTAGATGCAGAAGATAAAGGAGACAAAAATTAATATTTCTACTCAAATATGCTTTTCTATGGCTTCAATTGATCTGAGAAAAGTTTTATCAAGCCTGACATTAGGAGCAAATAAACTTACACATAGCATTATAATTTTTATAACTTGAAAACCATAGGCTTTTGGTTACTTTTTAAACCTAATCCCTTTGGTTATAAACATCATTACTATAATGCCTCAATTTAACTGTGTTTGCAAAATGCATTATTTCCAATTATCAGTGAAGCAAATGGCAGGAAACATTTTCTCTTTCCAAAATAGAGGCTTGCTTTAAGGGTCATATCACAGAGAAATCACGGAAAAATGTAGAAAACTATCAAGTCAAGAATATCACTCAGCCCTAGCCAGTTTGGCTCAGTGGATAGAACATTGGCCTGTAGACCAAACGGCTCCAGGTTCGATTCTGGTCAAGGGCATGTACCTTGGTTGCAGGCTCTTCCCTGGCCTGGGCCCTGGTGGGGGCTCCTGCAGAAAGCAACCAATTGATATGTTTCTCTCACATCAATGTTTCTCTCTGTCTTTCCCTCTCTCTTCTACTCTCCATACAAACCAATGGAAAAATACCCTGGGGTGAGGATTAACAAAACAAAACAAAACAAAACAAAACAAAACAAAACAAAACAAAACAAAAATAAAAGAAAGAAAGGAAAAAAAAGAGAGACAGAGAATATCACTCAGGACCTATTATAGAGAGGATTTGAAAACAGTTAGAGAGGCTATTTCTACTTCTGATTTTTGAAGGAAAAAATATATCAAAATGCAAGTGAGTCTTGGGACAGTAGGAAGAAGGGCAAGTCAGAGACAGAGGCTGTAAGACCTCTAGAAGTAATCTAGGAGGATTCACTCTTCAGCAGTTTCCCCCGAATTCCACTCCATTTAATGCTATCTTCTTGTGATGGTCCCTGAAAATACAGCTCTATGATCAAATACAACTGAAAGAAAATATGCTGTTAAGGTAAAATTCTTTTAGATTTACACCTCAGCAACAGATGAGTCAGTTCAACACCCCAGTGTGCTACATAAGTAAAAGCAAAAGGGTTCTGCACAGGATGTACTATCATAGCCAAAGTGTACCAGAAGCAGGCCCTGAAAATCCAGCCTGCCTTGAAACCTTCTTGCCCAGTATAAACATTCTTTGAATTTGCAAACCAAGAACTTTGACTCAGGTTGAGTAGAGAGAAGAGACAAGATACAGGAACTGCATATATCAGCTGGAAAGAGGGCCAAGAAGGTGGAGACAAAGTTAATTGTCAAATATGTGCCTTTGTCATCCATGGCTCCCTTTGTCCTAGACCAGAAGGGCAGCCTGAAGGAGAGAGAGCCAACCCAGGAGACAGGTTATCCTAAAACACTGAGAATTGCAAGACACAGCCCAGAGACAGAGTTGTGAAAAATTTCTAAATGTACATCTTAGAATTACTGACATATTCTACTGAAATTATTCAGGATGAGTGATATGCAAACATGGGTGACATACAGTGAAAGTGAGGTACAAGCATTGGGAAAGTTGCTTTTCTAGCTTTCTACTTTCTTTGCATGCTGTGAGAGGCCAACATCTTTCCGATTCTGGCTCCTAAGTATCAGCTGTTACTGACTAGTGGTTAGATGAATGGGAATTTTTATGGAGACCAAGGAATTTTGGTTGAGGCATTGGTGAGCTCATAGTTCTGATTGTTATTTATCCCATTCTGACCCCTACATTAGTCTTTCATGTGCTATGTCTCAAAGAAAATATTTTAATCTCTATCAATCTTTAGTCCATACTAGTGAGTATAAATGTATGTACTGCAATACATCTATATGTAATAATACATCTACATTTACATCAATCATCCTCATTAAATAGACAATATTTTCTATAAGTTATTTATGCTTCTGTAAAAATCTTCCTGCAGGCTCTGACAGTTTGATTTGCTTATTCTAATCTAGGTCTCATCTTGACATTCAGAGATGAAGAAGAATATATTTTTTCTGATACTAGGTTAATGTTTCTAGGAGAGTTAAATTTCCAACCCTTAACAAGGTGCAATTTAAAATTCAAAAGAACTTTCCCACAGGGTCATCACATTATCCAATGAGCATACAGCAGCCACCTTATAACCCATCCTTCTATGGTTAATTGCTGAAAGAAATGCCAACTTCTTAAAGAACGTGGGGGAGCTCAATATTTTCAGAAATTAGTATTTCCCAATAAACCAAACAGTAATTTCTAAATATTCTATTCAACATGATGTTGAAAAAAAAAACACAAAACACAACAACAACACTTAATTTGAGAATTTTTAGTAGTGGAGTTATGATAAATTGAAACAGGATGAGATGACATCTCCATGAACTTTTTCTTTAGAAGATTATTTATTTCAGTTTGCCTAATAGGATGTCTGTCACTCAACAAGTTTTGGTTATACTGGAACCCCTGGCCTCACTTCAACATCAGAGTACATTATACATGTTATCTAAAGGGCATAACAATCTGTTTAATGTATCTATAATATTAAAACTCTCATTTTTAAAGAACTGAACTCAACATAAGGTCATTTTGGCTGTTTAACGATGTTGAAATAAATCATAATCTCTTCCTGACCTGTAGTCATTTGGACTACATTCAGAGAGAATCACTTTCACTTAATTATGGAAATTTCTGTTCTTCCTCATAAAGCTTAACCAATTCTGCCTTCACTGAAAAATGAGTGTATATTTGGAGAAAGTGGCCTTACTTTAATGGAGTAATACTGGAAAAAATAATAATATATTTGTTTTTAAGTCTCAAAATAGTTTAAGGATTTGGAGAGAAAAAAAAAGTAGCAGACAGGGCACATAGCTGGAAAATAAATAAATTTACCTGTTAAAATTCCTGACTATTGTGTCTAGTAAAAAGCATCAGGTCTTCTAGAAGGAATAATTTATTCTGATTTAATAATTTAAAAATACAAATTATTCAGAGAGTACTGCATCTGGTGGTTCAAGTTTAGGTTCTCATCGATGGCTAAGTTTTTGCGACGTCAATAACCAGGTTCAAATCTTGAGAAATCCTAATCAAAATATGAGACTGTGTCCAAGACACTGCACTTTAAAAAATGTTACTAGTAAATTACTGTACAAAAAAGAATGAAAACCATTCTTTTAGACTATCGCTGTCCAGCAGAAATATAAGTACGCTGCAGACATCAGCCAGATATGTACTTTGAAATTTTCTAGTAGCTTTATTTTTTAGGTATAAGCCAGTGGAATTAAGTTTAATAATATACTTTAGCCCATATATAAAAATATTATCTTTACAACATGGAAACCATACAAAACATTATTAAGGAGATAGATTTCATTCTTTCTTTCACACTAGGTCTTCAAAATACTATGTGTATTCTATACTCTCAGCATGTATCTAATCAGACTAGCTACATTTTATTGCTCAGTAGCCACATGTGGCTATTGGCAATTGTATTGGGCCACACAGCTATAATCAACGATCTACTCAATTTTTTGGCAATGTCTACATGACAGAAACCCTAAGAAATGCTGCAGTTGTCAATTGTTGCATAGACGTCATTGATGAGCAACTAACATTGAACAAGAATTTAATTCTGGATATTCTCAATTATTCTGCTTTATCATTTGCCCACCTGAAGCCTGGGGAGAAGGAGCAAATAATACTAACTGGCTCAGCAACTTATTGCTGCAAAACAAACCACCTGGCAATGGCAAGGTACAGATCCTAAAATAACAACCAAGCATTTGGGGCTGAGAACAGCCCGGGGGTAATCCCATTAGTCTAACCTGGGCTCACTCACAGGGTTGCAGTTAACTGCAGGCTCCACCAGGGCGAGAAGACCCACAGTGGCCTCTCTCACAGGTCTGGGGCCTGATGCTGGCTGTGTCTCTCACCTGGTCTCTGTCACTCAGTAGTCTGGTCCAGGCTTCTTCATGCGGCAGTGGCATGTTTGTAGAAGGTCAAGGCTGAGGTTGCCAAGCCTCTGGAAGTTAGGCTCCTACACTGCAACAGCATCACTCTGTCCAAAGTCACAAGTCCATTCTAGACTCAAGGGGTGGGGAAATAGAGTGCGGCTCTTGATAGGAAAGTGGGGAAAATATTGTGTCGGCATTTTTCCAGCTTTACCAAGATATAATTGACACATGTCATTGGGTAAGTTTAAGGTGTAGAGTGGGATTGCTTTGATACATATACATATTGTGAATTGATTACCACCGTACCATTAGTTATCATCTCCACTCATTGCATAGTTGCTATTTCTTTCTGTAGTGAAAGCATTTAACATCTATTCTCTTAGCAACATTCAAATATATGATACAGTCTTATAAGCTATAATCACCATGCTGCACATTATATCTCCCAAATTGTCAATCTTATGACTGGATACGGGTATCTGCAATTTTAATTTACCTCAAAAATACAGTCATAAATTACATTTCTTAGATTTTTAAATAAAGCACAGATTTAGGTTCCAGAGTGAAGGTCACTTTTACTCAGCAACTTATAAACATGCTTATCTCACAGTTTACCGAACAAACTGTTTTTACTCTTTCTTTTATAGCCAAAGAAAGTGAAGGATCCTCTTATGAAGAAAAACAACACTTACGCTCCGACAGCAACCAGCTACACCCCTAACATGGCCAGGGGTGACCCTGGCTTAGCCACCATTGCTAAGAGCGCGACCATAGAACCAAAAGAAGTCAAGCCAGAAGTCAAACCTCCAGAACCCAAGAAGACCTTTAACAGTGTCAGCAAAATTGACCGCCTGTCAAGAATAGCCTTCCCACTGCTATTTGGAATCTTCAACTTGGTTTACTGGGCTACCTATTTAAACAGAGAGCCTCAGCTCAAAGCCCCCACCCCACACAAGTAGGTCCTTTTATTCACATTCTGCTGTTCAGTCCTCTGCAACGGAAATTGCTTTCTGTTCTCAACGCGGTAATTCCCATCTGCTTTATTGCCTCTGTCTTAAAGAATTTGAGGGTTCCCTTATTTCCATAATTCCTACAAGAACACACCCCTGTCCAGCAGTGCAGAGCAGAGCAGAGAATACAGCTGAGAGACAGGATTCTGAGAGTGAGAACGAGAGAGCAAAAACAATCGCAATGGAAGGAGACAGAACGAAAGGGAGAGGGAAGAAGGGGGACGTAGTTCCCAAGATAGGAGGTAAAGTAGAAGAAAAATAAAACAACTGTAACTCTAGATAATTTGTAGATATATATTTCCAAATATTCTAAACAAAGAAGATACTATATATGTCAAAAATATTTTTATGTGAAGGTGTTTAAAAGAAAAAAATTATAAATGTTTAATGAAGAAAATTT